GGGGGGGGGGGGGAGATAATGTTCCACGACAATGGTGGTTGGGGTATGTAACTATGTGGGATGGTGGTGGAAATAGGGTGGGGTAGTGGTGGCAGAGTGACGGAGAAAAGAGCAAAAGAAATAAATTAACACTTTTCAGAATTCATCTCATTGTACTATCAAATAGTTTAACTTTAATCTACTCTAGTGCTTCATTCTTACATATAAAAGATTCAACTTTCAGCATTTAAAATTCGACCACTTTGTGATTAATATTCACTTCTATCAACTAGACCTTAACATCACTGGTGTCTTGGCCTATGAATAGCTAAGGAGTTATAGAGTTGGTGTTTTAGCCCCCGAACTGTGAATTTTTTCACTTTTCTTGACATAGTGATAATTTTCGTCCAAAAAAGATAGTGAAACTTTGCGTTGTGTAATATAATTCAAGTAATTGAGGAGACAATAGATAAAGTGAAATCGAATCGCGACTAAAAACATAATCTCTGTATCACCTTAATTCGGGAGGATTCTCCGGCCACCGGTTACTCAACTCTTTCAAGCTTTTGTCATCAGGTTCATGCGACACCGGTATCAATGTTGGACTCTGCACTAAAAAATCAAAAACCTCTTTCCAGTCTCTCACATTCTTGGTATGCTCTCTATTATAATAACCCACTGGGTTCACCTCATCTTTACTCACCCTCTTCTTCTCCTCCTCGGACAGACCGAAGAACTTCGCCCCCGCAATCTCGAGGTTTCTCCGGCTCTCTAATGGAACTCCATGGTTGATTACTTGGAAGAAACCCCAGTTCTTGCAGGCATCGCCTATATCGGCGATGAGAGATTCCATTAATCGATCAACTGAGTTAGGGTTTGGAGAGATTAGAATTGAGAGATCGATCAATGGAATGGCTTCAGCTTCGAGGGTAGAGTGTTGGGGCCTGTGTTCGATGGGTAGGATGAAGGATGGGTCTACTTCTCCCATGTCTGAAATTCTTTGGCGGTGTGAGAATGGAGAGGAGAGAGATACTTGTACAGTTGTACTAGGGTAGGGGATAATCTCAATCTATTCATCTACAACGTAATCAGAGCTGTAACATATATGCATCGAACCTGGACACATTTGGTACCATGTTTGCACTTTGTCTTATTCAAATGCCTTGTACCGTTGTCCGGTTCTGTTTTGGTAGCATAATCATGTACTAGGGATAATCTCAATCTATTTTTATGTACAATGTAATCAGAGCTCTTATCTATTTATTTTTTAACGGTAATATAGTTAATTAAAATTTCTCATAAATATTGATATTAATTTATTAAAAATAGAGAATTAAAATAAATGTTAGGGGTTAATTTTGAGATTTAAATACATAAATTGTGAATGTTATTTAGATATTTATCTTTGAAAAGATAGTGTAACATTATAAAAAATTTTATAAGGATAAAATAGTGAATTAAATTTTTTTTATTTAAGTTATTTTTATTAATGGTATAGATAATAATGACTAAGATTAATCTAAAAATGTGAGTAAACTTGAAAAACTTTGTATGTGTTTGGTTAGATTCTGCAAAACAATTTTTTGTTCTCAAATTTTTAAAAACATTCAAAATATGTTTGTTTAACATTTTAGTTCTCTAAATTTTGAGAAAAAAAATGAGATTTGAATCAAAAAAATAGAAAATAAGTGTAGCTTGTTTTCAGAGTTTTCTTTGAAAATTTTGGTAATAAGGAGAATAATTTTGGATGTTTATATATATGTATATATACATAAATACGTTTTATATTATATTATAACTAGTCATAACTTTTGCCTAAAGGCACGATAAAATATAAAATTTGAGTTTTCAAAAAATTGATTCTACTATATTAAATTTTTTTAAAATATATTAATTACAAATTAATCAAATATTAAATAATTAAATATATAATAGAAATAACTGATGTGATATTTTTAAAGAAAAAATATATAAATAATTAAACATGTGATAGAAATGAGTGATGTGATTTAACGTTTAAGTCTAACAAATGAATGATGGATGAGATAAGTGATTGGTGATGGTTTTGAGAAGAAAAATATGACTGAAAAAAAATTCAAATACACTACTGTTTTATTATATAAATATATATATATATATAAACATGTATATATAAATACGTATAAATATCTGTATAATAAAATAACTTACAATTTAAATCTCAAAAGATAAACAAAATGACTTTTACTATTTGCGATTGAAATCACTTTAAATTTTACTTTAAAGTTAATCTAACGGCTAATATTAAAACTCCAAACTTAATATGAAAAAATAGGCTCCTAAAGGTGTATTTGTAGTATTTTTTTAAAAGTGTTTTTAAATTATTTCTCATAAGTACTTTAAAAAAAAAATATTATTTTGAACTGCTCCATTACTACCTTTATCACCATCACCACCACCGCCACCCACCACCGCCACTACCANTTAGAAATTATTTCTCATAAGTACTTTAAAAAAAAATATTATTTTGAACTGCTCCATTACTACCTTTATCACCATCACCACCACCGCTACCGCCACTACCACCTCCTCCGGGCACTGCCACCTCCACCTCCACCGTCGCCACCACCATCACCACCGTAGTCGTCGTCGCCGCCATCACCACCGTCTCCACCCCCAACCCCTACCATCGCTACTATTACCATCATTGCCACCTCCACCTCCACCTCCACTTCCACCACCGTCGCCATCTCCACCATAAGTCATCGCCGCCATCATCACCACCACCACCACCACCATTATCGTTGCTGCCGCCACCACCACCATCATCGTCGCCGCCACTACTACCACTATCACTGCCACTACCACTACCGCTACCACCACTGCCACCACAACTATTACTGGCTCTTATCACCACCACTATCTCTCATCCCCCACTACAAATCGATGTTTAAATTTTTTTATTTTTTTTTATGTTTGAGATTTAATTTTGGATATGAATACAAATATATTTATTGTTTACGATTTTTTATTACTTTGTGACTTCAGGCACATGCAATAACTAATATATATATTATAAAATTGTCAATATAAAAATAATTTTTTATATTTTTTTATTAATATTTGAATTACTGTTTAAATATATATTTAGACTGTCCAAACAGGTNAATTATTGGCTTTGAGGTTAATTTTGTCGTAATACGAAATTAATACGTAAACTATGATTCTAACTGAAAAAATTGAATCCCATGNAATTATTGGCTTTGAGGTTAATTTTGTCGTAATACGAAATTAATACGTAAACTATGAAAAAATTGAATCCCATTNTGTCCAAACAGATTTATTATTTTCTGTATTGTAAAATTATTTTTGAAATCATCTAATCAAACAAGTTTTTTATTTCAAAAAATATCAAAACTACATTCTCAAAACTCTATTTAAAAACTATTTTCGAATACTATTTTTTAAAACGCAAACCAAACAGAGTCTTTTATTTTCTTGTTTTATCCCTATTTATTCTGTTAAAGTCATTTTTGTCCAAATGTATTACTGTGAACACAGTACAGTTAGTACACAATATTTTACATTCAATATGTTCACTGCGCATTCCATATCAGTTGCAAAAATAAATAAATAAAGCTTCTCACCGATCAGCCCCCCACATATCCTTCACTCTATCTGCTACCTCAATGGCGCCTGCCAAGTTAGAGAAATCGTTTCAATGGAGCCTCTGATTGACTCTGATCCAAAGCCGATGCATCCGATCTCCCCTTGAAAGATAGGCACCACTATAATACCATCAACATTTTGTTGTTTGCCTCCTGATGATGATAGTGTGATCTGTTTGAGTAGTAACTTCCAGGCGGTGATGATGCATTTGAATAGTAACTTATAAATTCTTATGCTTTTTCCTCTTCGTTAATATACATATGCTGCCCTGTTTACACATTCGGCAAAAATAAGTTTTCGAGGTATTTTAAATTTTCATGTTATGAAGATGGTCAAATTTCATGAGAAAAATTTTGAGGGTTTATGTTCATGTCATTAGAAGCAAATGAAAAAACTCGTGCTCATCACGGAATTGAATTCATTAAGACTTGGAATGTGATACTTTGAATGGTTAGAAAACTAAGATCCACCGTTGGTGTTTTCGTTATGGTTGCTATATTTTCTACCAACCATTATGTTATTTCTTTTCTTTTTTGGTTCGAGTTAAAAGTTACATTAAATTGAATTCTCGGATTTAGTGAAATTTTAGCGGTGGGCTTAGTTGATTTAGTCAATCACAACACGACTTAGTTAATTTAGCGGATCTCTAACCCTTTGCCAAACGTGTGGTACACATAATCTTACAGCTGCAACTTTTTATTGTTCATTTTGATACTTCTTTTCTGCAAATGGGATCCTTAGGTTGAGTATTTTTAAGTTATTTTAACGCGTAATTGAAAATCAGCCATAGTATAACTTGAAAACATCTTTTATTTTCCACCACTTCTAAGAAACCGTAGTGACTCACAACCTCCATCAACTTGACACAGCGAACTCTTAGTTTTATATGGTTATATACATAAGCAACAATCTTCTTTTGGAAATTTGAGTAATGCATTTCCCCCTTTTTGGATTAAAAAATCTTAATACTCCAAAAACTCAATTACTTATGTTTCCTTAATGGTATAAACTGTGATTATTGACCTATTTTGTATCAGGTATCTCAACTCCTCATTGACGCCAAAAATTACTCCAATGCAGTTGATGGGATGCTGCGTACGTAGATCAAGCACACAAAGTCCCATTAAGTGTTTCATGACTCCATTTGATGGCCCTTTCTTTCTTTCTTTTTGTCAATGTCAAGCATTTTAGGTAGACCAACAGAAGAAACCTAACTGTAACTAATAATCCTACACATTTAGAATGTTTTTAGTGCTCATGAAAGTACTCTGAATATTTTTTTTTTGCTAGAAAATGATTGATTGTAATGTTGGGTTGAATGACTAAATGTATGTCCACAATCAGTGGCACACTTCAGTAAGGATGGCAAACCGATGATTTTGAAAGGGATGGAGTATAGGAACATCTCCTTTGTGCCTATTGTGCTCATAATGAATTTATCGCAATTGATCATTAATGCAATGAACTTAGTTATTTTCAATCTTTTAAGTTCTTATTTGCTGCATGCAAAAATATTTAGTAGAATAATGGAGTTTCAAGTTGTGCAACCACAAGTGCAATGAAGGGTGTCCCGTACAATGTATGTATACATCAACAAGAACATTATTTCTTCACATTTTATTTGAGGTAAAAAAAAATTGGTAGATATGGTTGGTGACTTAGCAAAGATAAAGAAATATTTGTCATCATATATATTGGTTAAAAAGTTACAAAAATAAAAAGCATAACTCAAAATGATTCACGTGCAAACGTTGCACGTGCGCACCAACTAGTCTAATAAAAAATACTCATTGTATCAAATTAATCGTAGTTCTTGCATTAAAAGTGAATTAAAACTCACAATTAATGTAATGGTTGTAATAAATTGGGTCCATCGTGAACATTTCAAATTAGGTGTCGATAGTATTGCTCTGATATATTTTTCATCAATTTTATCTAATGGTATAAAATTCATTTTAAAAAAAAAATCGTCCAAAAAACATCATATATTCTCTATTGGGACTCCCAATGCTAAACAATTCAATTAACACTTCGTAATATCAAACAACCTCATTAATCTATATCTATCTTTATTTATTTTCTCGCTGTGCACTATCATTTTATATTGTGTAATTAAGGAAAAGAAATTTATTATTTAAAAATATAAATATTGTACGATCAATGCTCTAATTTTAGCATTGTAGAGTACCTTCAACCACAAAATTATTTTTACTTTTCTATAGATTAACAAGTTGTATACACAATAAGTAGTAATTGAGTTATAAATAAAATTTTAAATGAAAATGCTATTTAAACTTAATCTATCACACCTTTATCACATGTGTTCATTTTACAAAATAAAAATAAAAATTATTACAACAATTATTGGCTTTGAGGTTAATTTTGTCGTAATACGAAATTAATACGTAAACTATG